TGGCAGGAGTGCAGCGACACTGCTCGTACGGAGACGGGGTCGAAGCCATCAAGTAGTAACTACATCATGCGTCGTTCAGTCATGAGCCGTATGCCAGGTCAACTACTTGCAATGCTCACTTCGATTAGATGTGCTCACCAAGCTAGGCCACGCGCTGGCAGTCACGGTGAAAGCGTAGGCCGTGCCATGGGGTTGTAGCGCATCGTGTTGTAATCATGTGGTGGGCTCAAAGCCTCGAAACCACTGCGGCGCGCCTGCAGTGACGGGCGCCTGCGTGTGTAGTGGCTGAGCTGCTGAGCGCTGGACTCGCGGAAAGGAGTCGGAAAGGACCACTTCTGTGTTTGTCCCGCTGCCTCCCAGTGCCATCCGGAGCTGGACATCGCACAGCCTGAGCCAGGTCTGGGAACCCTTGTACTGCCTTCTTCACGAAGGGACAACAGCACGCTCCTCGAGTTCGCCCCTTTTGTTCTCGTTGCCCGCACCGCTACCGCCGGGTGTGCTTATAGCGGCAGCACCACGGAGACGTATCCATCCTACGCCCAAGTCCATCCTCCAGCATGCGAATCGCACTCGTCAGCGCTGCTGTTGTGCTCGCCGGCGCCCCTGGTGCTCTAGCTTGGGGCGCCGCTGGCCACGAAATCGTCGCGACCATCGCGCAGATGCACCTCCACCCCGACGTTCTCCCGGTGCTCTGCGACATCCTCGACCCCTCCTCCGCCTCACTCTCCAACGACTCCAGCCCGGCGACACACCCACCATGCCACCTCGCCCCAATCGCTGCGTGGGCAGACCGCGTCCGCATGACGCCCGCATACCGGCACACCGCGACCTGGCACTACGTCGGCGCTGTGGACGACTCACCTGGGGCTGCGTGCGCCTTCCCCGGCGAGCGCGGCTGGAGCGGACGTCGCGACTCGAACGTGCTCGCCGCCGTGGGGAATCAGACGCGCGCGGTCGCGGGGTTCCTGGACGGTGAGGGCGGCCTCGCGGACGCGGCGGACGCCCTCAAGTTCCTCGTGCACTTTGCAGGTGATATGCACATGCCGCTGCACCTCACTGGGCGCGAGCGGGGAGGAAACGGTGCGAAGGTGACTTTCGATGGGAGGATGACGAGTAAGTATCCATCTCCCCGTCATGGTCAGCATAGGGCGAGCGAGCAGTGTTACTCTCTTGTTGGCTCCTTGTGTTGTATGGTAGACCCTATCGCGCCCGCTCTACGAGCGTCCAGCGGGCGCGATAGCGTAATAGACGTGGTACAAGGACGAGGAGATGAGAGCAAGGAGCAAGCCCGCAGCGAGAAGCATCTGCCCGCAACGAAGCCGGTGCACCCCACAACGTGCGGTGCATCATGGCCATCTCACTACGCCCGGCCTCCCCATATGCAGTCTTCCTTCCCGCACGGGGCGTCTGCGCGCGTGGAGACACGCATCTCCCCGCGTGCAGGAACTCAAACTCAAACTATAACCGCCACATACAGTACTGACTCCCCCGGCAGACCTGCACTCCGTCTGGGACAGCTTCCTCATCGCGCAGGCCCTCCGCACGATCCCCGCGAACTACTCGCGCCCCATGCTCGGCGCGCTCGAGGCGCACCTCCGTGGCTCGATCTACGACGGCTACGTCCGCCGCCTCATGGTCGATGGCTTCGGGGTCGCCCGCGCCGCAGGGGTGGGCCGCTTCAGCGCGGTGGAGGAGTGGCTCGAGTGCCCGTCGGACGACGAGGACATGGATGAAGATACTACCCTGCAACCCTGGCCGATAGTGCAGACCGTCTTGCGCACCCTTGGCATGGCCGCCCCGCGCGAGGGGCTCGCGAAGCGCAACCGGGGCGTCCGCCGCCGGCGCCACCACCACAAGCGCGCGGGAGGAGACCTCTGGGGCTGGCTCACGGGGAGCACGGCGCGCGACGAGGCGCGCTGGGACGACGACGTGCTCTGCCCGTACGCGTGGGCGCGCGACATCCACGCGCTGAACTGCGCGTTCCCTATTTGGCCCGCGGAGCTCGACGCCTCGTCCTCCAAGTCCACGTCGACGCACGACTGCGGGGCCCACGATCATGGAAGTGAGGGTGAGTTGAGTGAGGGTGAGATGGGTGAGATGGATCGTCGGCCCCGCCCGCACCCCGAGCTGCTCGAGCTCGATACGCCAGAGTACGCGGGGCGCCTGCGGGAGGGATGGGTCGTCGAGCGGTTGCTCGCAATGGCGGGCATCCGCCTTGCGGGGATACTGAACGGGTTGGTTCTCGGTGAGGTAGACGTATATATCCATTGATTTGCGCTGTGATTCTGGATGAAAGGACTCTTGGAATTACGTGTACTTCTATATGTGTATAATGTGCTGGAAGGGAGAGTGCATTCTCCTCGATGTTTGAGCTAGATCTCTGTGCATTGCAGTCGTGAATGTGGGGATTACGCTGTGTTGAATTGACATATTGCCACTAGTACTGGGAGATGCTACCCAGCCACCAAGTGCAACCAACGAACAGTACACTGGTATACACAAAGAAGCGAATTACAGTACAGCTAGCTAGGGGTTTGGTAAAGGCACATTGATGACATCCGCCATCGCCTTGTATTTATCTTCCGTGTAGGGCAAATACCGGCCCTCCATGAACGGCTCCGCCCTGTGACACGGTAAGCATCGCTGAAACCCTAGAAGGTATTGGTACATACGCAAGTGGAACGTGCACAAAACTCCGCAGGTGCGTGAAGGTATTGAAGGCATATTTACCGTGCCATCTACCGTCTGAATGTTCCAGGTCAGTACAGCTCTTTAATATTAGATGCGGACTACATACGCCCTGAGTCTCGTTGCCCACCGAAGGGCAGTTCGTATACTGACATTGGATGAGTTCGCGCTGATTGCGCCGGATGTAGGATTGTATTTGACTGACCTGCTAGCTGACTTGTCGTATCGTTGATCACGAGTGTCCCGCTGTTCGTACGTCCTAGGACTGTGTATCTGTGGGTTAGTTGGAATGAAGAAGGGTAAGGATAAAGCACATGCATTGTTGTTTGACGTCCTCGCTGTTCGTGAATAAATATATGACTAGAGGGACAGCTCTGGTGCACCGAGTGTCATCAGTCAACTGTCTTCCATCTCTAGACACCACAGATACGATTGACTCACTGTTCGTTTATGAGCCTTATCGTCTCCTCCACGTCATCTACTGGAATAAGCGGCAATAACGGGCCGAACAACTCGCTGGAACATATTCAGTCTCACTTTCGAAAGCACATCGATATCGATACCACATACTCTTCCATGAGCGCATCGTCCGGCGCAACATTCTTCACTATCGTGGGCGACATCCGCCGGTCGCCGTCGTATTCGCCACCCCTGACAACCTCGCCCTTCGTCCGCGCAAGCAGCTTCTGCAATCGCCCGTGATGGGGAGGGTTGATGATGTTGCCCCAGCACGCATCTTCGTGGAGGGGCCCCTTCGGCCAAAAGGTGTCATAATGCTTCAGCAGCGCAGAGACGAAGGCGTCTTGTTTCGCCCGGGGAACATAGACGTGATCCGGGCTCACACAGAGCTGCGATAGAGTGCGTGAACTGGGCGGATCCAGCGCCATGCGACGTAAACCTTACCTGCCCACTATTCTGCGCCTTGCCGTGGAGCACGCGCTTCGCCGCAAGGTCAAGGTCCGCGTCATCCGCGATCACGACGGGCGACTTGCCGCCGAGCTCGAGCGTCACGGGCGTGGCGCGCCGCGCCGCGGCCGCGGCGACGATGCACCCAGTCCGGCCGCTGCCCGTGAAGAGAATGTGGTCCCACTTGAGGTCGAGCAGGTGCGTCGTCTCTGGGACGCCGCCGTTCACGACGGCGTACGCGGCGGGGTCGAGGTACTTCGCGCAGAGCGCCTCCATGATCCGCGAAGAAGCGGGCGCGAGCTCGGAGGGCTTGAGCACGGCGGCGCAGCCCGCTGCGATGGCGCCTACGAGGGGGCCGAAGTTGAGGATGTACGGGAAGTTCCAGGGCCTGGTGCAGGATAGGTGAGACGGCACGGACTCATTAATGTAGGGGCTTACCCAATAATCAACACTACGCCCTGTGGGACTTTGTACACTGTAGCATCCCATCCGCGCTTGAAATCCTCCACCACCTCGACTTTCTCCGGGCGCGCCCATTCGTCGAGATTGTCGAGGGCATATCTGACTCCAGAAATCAGCCCGTTCAACTCCGTCGCTGCCTCTAATCTGGGCTTTCCAAGGTCCTCGTTGATCGCTGCCTCGAGTGCTAAGAGGTTCTCTTGCACGAGCCGCCCTAGCTGGTGCAGTTGTTTGCGGCGGTAGTCCAGCGGTCGGGTCGTCCCTGCACTGAAGGTTTTGCACAGCCTCCCATGGACCTGCACAACGTAACAAACCATTAGCTAGTATAGCAACAGGTACAGACATTGTCAACACATACCTGGTCAATCTCCTCGAGAGTATGGTATTGCAATTGAGTGGGAGACATACTGGACATAGTTCGCTCTCGTGGGTGCGAGCCTGGAGGTATTATGTACCGGTGTGTCCGCTGACACAAGGCTGACCAATGCTAATGAGGCCGCAGAAGGATCGTGGAACAAGGATTAGTGTATACGGTGAGAACCTGAGGCGTGAAAGGGGATGGCATAGGACAGAAGGCGGCAACAACGAACGGCCAAGCCTGATTGGCCGCAGCGGAACGTTAGAGGATAGCACTGAGCGAACCTTGGAGGGGCCCTGGTCTAACCACTTAGGATACTGTGAGCTTAGGGGATCCTCTATCGCCTCCTGAACGCGGTGAGGATTTTGGTCTTGGCGTTCCCGGCGATGACTCCCAATGACACCGTTAGCATTCCTGGAGGTGTTCGGAAAGTGAGTGTCTTGATAATTCGTAGTGTAAAAGCTCATGAAAGCAAGTGGATAGTATGCGGTTGCTTCTGAATCAAGATGTAGCGTACTGCACAGTACATGATATGAGGCGGTGCCCGCCATTGCCGCATGGCGTTCAGGTCCAGATCTCAAACAAAAATTGGTTCAGTCCGGGCTCGAACCGGAGACCTCCTGTGAACATCACAATGTGAGACAGACGTGATAACCAACTACACCACTGAACCATGCTGATGGGGTGAAAATGCAGCATCCGGACGATTGAGCTCGGCATGGACGCATGCACGAGTGCCCATCTCAGTGCAATCTCAGTGCGCTCTCAAATGGGACAACATGACCGCAGACACAGGTGCCCTGTGCCCTCAACTCCACAGTTCGAAAAGACAAGCGGGTGTATCTCGTCTCAAACATGGCACTGAAATGTCGCCATTCACACAAGTGGCGATTACAGTAATAAACTCGAACAGCGGGGACTCGGATATGATACACTGCATCTAGCGGATTGCGGTGGACAAGAACAACGAGAGCATACGGACACTGGATGATACAGCTAAGACGACACACCTCCACGATCGCTTCTGCACGAATCTGAAACGTCTTTCACCCAATAGCCATAGGAGCGTCCATCGCTTCACTCAGTTCTCGCCGTGCTGCATCTTGCGGGCGCATCGAGAAGATGACGTCCTTCAGCACTTGGGAAATCAAACCGTGCTGAGCCTCCGTCGCGAGCTTCTCGCTGCAGGAATAGTCCCATCAGTATATTTATGCAGGCAGTTACGCTGAGACTGACCTGTCCTTAGCACCTTTCAACAGTTGATTCTGGTCTTCTTTCTTCTTCTCTTCCTTCTACTCATCGACGTTAACGTTTGTCCTGTGTGCAGAAATCGATACTGACCTTCGCAACCTTGTCATCTTTGAGCGCAGGCGGAAGTGCCTTAGTATTCGGTACATTTGTTTGTGCTTTGGTTAGTTTTTGAGCCAGATCCGAGAGCTGCGACGCAGCGTAGGCTCGATTCTGCGTGGCGCGAGTGAGTTTCGGACACCCAAGAACAGAAATACGCCATGCATACCGAGATCAATGCACTTTGGCTCAGTGTATTGACCCAGTACTTGTTCCAGAGCAAACCAAGGAGCTCGGCGTCAAGGCTACTCTTGAACACCTGCACCTCCAGAGGGTAGTACTGATTCGCATGGACACCGAAGTCCTCGATCTTGCTTAGCGGGATACTCTGGTATTCGCCAGAGCCCGCGTCTGGCGGGACATAGGACTCGGGATACGTCCGGAACGCACCGATGTCGACCTTGCCCGCAGATATCGTGCGGTTCGGGTCGATCACGACCGCAACGAAGGGATCCTGGTACTTCTGGTTCGTCATCTGCGTGTTGACGTCGATACCGGAGAGCCAGCAGCCGTAACCTGGATGCGAATGGTACCATCCGACCGCGTTCTCGTAGCGGCCGACACGCTCGCTGCCCTGGATGTACTGCACCATGTACTCGTTCGCCTCATTCGCCGCGTTGACGCGGGTCTCAGTGCCCTGCACGGGCAGGGCGAAGGAGTCGACGATAACGAGGGTGCGATCCATGACCTTCCCGTGCATGAGGCCCATAATTTCGTATGGCACACCTGAGCGGGCGTGGATGACCTGAACACCGGATGAGCAACGACATTGAGCGTGTCGACTGGTTCTCACCATCTTGATAAGTGCAACTGCAGATATTTTGCACACCCTGAAGTAGTGTGGGCTGGGGAAACATCGTCAAGCTGGATGTCCACACCATGCACAATGTGCGTACGTACTCTCGCGCCCATGGTGCCTCCTGGAGAAGTCGGCGATTCGCCGCTTGGTCGAACTGGTAGATCTCGTCTTGTGGTGAGACATTCACTATGTCGTTCGCGAGCGAGAATGTCTTCAGCGCCGTATTTGACGACGCCGCCATGGTGGTCGTCGAGGATGCGGTAGCGGCACGCGTTGTGCGCCACACCGATCGATACACATAAATGATAAAGCCGAGGACTTTCATTTATTCTGTATCAATGTCCCACTGATCGTTACTGATCTCGGCTACAAGCTCATAACCTCATGGCGATACCTAATTACAATAACGTATTCTTATTCAATAACAACCGCTTCAGCGTCTTCGGTTACAAAGAATGCATCTTTGAATGCCCCCTCTACTTCGCGTTGCTGTCAACGGCGCCGGCTTCGACGTGCTCAACGTTGCCTCTCGCCATACACAAGGCTCTCACTCTCTGTATTCGCTAGGTTGTGCCTGGCTATACTGTTTTTCGGCCGCTCGTTTCGCTTCCACTACCGTCGCATCTTCAGGACAGTCGAGCCCACCCTCACCGACGTCCCTCACCGGTTCTCCGGGCAACCTTAGCCCTAGAACGACCTCGAAACCGACAGCGCCGCGTCCCAATGTCCGCCCTACACAAATCCAGATAGAGCAGCAGCTTTTACGCTCACGAGGCGGACAGAATCTCACGGAGCGGTGGGCTCGACTCGAACGCTCTCTTCGGGGCAAAGAAGGATATGAGGCGAAGATAGACACCCTCATCCATCAAGCGGACAACGTCTCCGCGGACGCAACTAGGAGTTCGGCATCCAAGACTGAACCACGGACGATTCATGGTCTATTACTGCCTGAGAGGCCTAGAGAGCCTCAATCAGACGGTAAGCCTGCATCGCCCTCTAAGTGGTCCCGTTGCATGTGAAGTGCCTTCACACAGAATGTTGCATGTCTGGCTGCGCTATCTGTGTATACGACCTATATGCTGCGGCGCTGGAGGATTATAGACACGCCCTACAAGCCCTACGGTCCGCCCTTGAAGCGCGAGGTGTACCAGAACGAGAGTGGCCAGCGGAGGTTAGAAGGAAGAGTGATGCGCAGGCGCAACAGTCGGCGCGGCCTCAGAATGTCGCTTTAAGCGCGTTCGAGGAGCTAGAACGATCTCTGCGGGCAAAGAGGAATGCCAATGCAGCAGACGATCCGGGTTAGTACGTGTTCAGTATTTTAATGCAGTGTATTCCTAGCATCTTTGACCGTGTAACAGATGAGACTGTTAATGCTGCGCGTTTCGTGAGCGGGAAGCGGAGACCGGTTCACCACATTGCTGCTGCATTGTACGAAGGACTACGATGGCTCCTCTTCAGTCAGAAATAACCCATTGTTACCTTGCGAAGCAATCAGAAGTAAGGCTCAGTAAAAGTATTCTTTTGTCGATACGGCCTCGACGTATCGGCGAACTGCCGCCTTGGTTGACCCATAAGGCAATGCTATCTCTATGACGGACTCGGATGCAGTGCGAGAGGTCTTCAGAGTCACAGCCTTGGTCGCCATCTACCTCCCCACTTTTCTCTTTGTGTGAGAGACAACCCACGATACCGAGCCGTTGTTATCCGTTGTCGGATAACATCGAGGTAGTTAGATCACTGTATCCCAAGAGAACTCGAGTCCTTGTGGACGCATCGGGCAGTAAGTGCGTCGATTGCTCTGCGAGAACACAATCTCATCGACTCTACAGTAGTCCCGTGGACCCCACTGCAGCAGTACAGATGTCTCTAGACGACCTTGGATGGGATGACGAGAGTCGACAGGATGCAAAGCTTGCCGTTGTAAGCATCCTGCTCGCCTAGTTCAGAGAGCTCGCTGACGGTTGAATCCATATGCCCGCGAACCAGATGTGGGCTCGCATGAACCTGGGGACGGATGACGATGAGTCATTGCTGGGCAGCCTTGTACCGCTCGACGAGCTTCCTGCAACCAAGGCCCAGCTTCCACTCGAGGTCTGGGAGCACATCCTCGATTATCTAAACGACGATCGAGAGGCCCTTCGGATGTCCAGTCTCACTTGCCGAGCATGGTTGCCGATGGCTAGACGGCACCTCTTCGCTAGAATCGAGCTGCACAACAGGGATGAAATCGTGCGCCTCCGTCGCGTACTCGAGACATCCGAGGCCTCAGAAACTCACGTCGCCCGCCTTGTCAAGCGCATAGTACTAATCGGTCTCCCGCTATGCAGGTTGCAAGTGCCATACGCAGCTCGAGACACTCTCCTACATGACGTTTTCTCCAAGCTGTGCAATGTCACTTCCCTCCGTTTGGAAAATGTCAGTTTCGACATCGTGCTTCCGCTAGGGTCCAGGTTTGCGGTTATCCGCCCGTTCTCCGAGATGTTCCCTCTCCCTTCAGTGAGGCATCTACACCTGCTTTCGGTGATGTTCCGCTCCTCTCATGACTTCCCGCGCCTTGTGTCGGCATTTCCACGACTGGTTGTCTTGGACGCACTGGGAACCGTTTGGCCGCAGCGCCCGGACCCCACACCTTCGCCTTTTGTCACATCCGACAAGCAGGATCAAGCCGATGCCATCAGCGCAACGAAACTTCATGTCAACGTAGAGCCAGGGCCAGCTTATTTCCTTCAATGGAGGCGAACTCTTCGTCTGCTTTCGATTGAGCGCCTCGAGTGGCCGGCCTACGCAGTCGAGTACAGGCGCTGGGTCCAGAAGATGCTGCATGACTGCGCGCCCAACGTCGAAGAGCTTCACCTATATTCCGCCTTTGACACTGATGGTACGTTGTCGCATATGCAATAGCTGGTATAGTGGCCTCAACCCAAATCTGTACAGGACTTCGAACCGTTGATGGCCGCCGGTACGTTCAACTGCAAGACCTCGTCTTGAGCTTGAGGCTTCGCATGACACAGGAAGTCAAATGCTGTGAAGCCCTTCCCTCCTTCCTGTCAGGATTCGTCTCTGGGAAGCTCGGTCAAATCAGTCTGAACCTCGGCATCTTCGACAACGTAGACCAATATCAGGGGTGCATAGATTGGAGAGCCTTCGATGCAGTTCTCGTTCGTCTACACCAACGGAACCATGAGCTGGCCATCGCCTTCCTGTTCCATATCCGACTTCGCCAAACATCCTCCCGTGGTCCTTGTGGCATCTTGAAAGAATTACAGTCAAAGTCGCGTCGTCGCTTCCGAATGCCTTGCAAAGAAACATGTGCATCGGTGTCGCCCTTGAACTCTACGATGGTGCATCCCCTGAAGCCACGAAGTTCGGAGCTGTCCGGATCTCCCCTGCCAGTGTAGGCTCTCGGCCTAGTCTACTTGAATGAACTGTACCATAGTTTCCGTATCGTATGTATTGTTCTGCGTTGTACTTGTCAACCGACCTCGTATCACCGATCTCATCGCTGTTCGTTTGTAGCACGCCCTGTA